AAAATAAATAAGAATATTTCTTTATTATCATTCGAACAATTTCACACGTTTCGTTCGAAAAATTTGACATTCTCTTTCGTAATGTTATTCATACAAAAGACAGGAACAATTTAATAAAAAATTAACAATTAATAAAGATTTATTCGAAGATAAAAAAAAATGTATTGAAATAAATAAAAATATTTCTTTATTATCATTCGAATAATTTCATACGTTTCGTTCGAAAAATTTGAAATTTTCTTTCATAATGTTATTCATACAATTTAATAACAAATTAACTGGAATTAATAAAGATTTATTCGAAGATAAAAAAAAATGTATTAAAATAAATAAGAATATTGTTTCATTTAAAGACAACATTAAATTTCAAAGAATTTCTTTATTATCATTCGTTCGAAAAATTTGAAATTTTCTTTCGTAATGTTATTCAAAATGCAGGATAATAATGTTATACAAAAGGCAGGAACAATTTAATAACAAATTAACCGAAATTAATAAAGATTGCAAATAACTCAATCCATAAATTTTGAACAAGTCAATTAATATATACATACACTCGAACAAAAGGTATATTAAATATAAATAGATATCGCTTTATCAACTTTGTACATCAAAAACGATTTCGAATAAATTATATTTCCTTTGTCGTTAAAATTGTCCAGTTTGTATTCAAACGTGTGTGTGACGACTGGGTCACGAAAAAAAACTGGAACTCCCTGGTCTCTTTGAGATGGTTCTGATTTTTCCTTGCTTCGACTTCCGGACCTAGCATTATTTATTTTCCTAGAACTGTAGCGGTCAGAAGGCAGAAAAGCAGGAAGCAACGCGCCTCCATCTTACGGACGCGTAATAAATTTCTTCATGCGGCGGTTCAATTTCGCAGCTTTCATCCCTTCCATGAACCTTTCCCCGAAGATTCTGAACAATACCTATTTAAGCGAGGCTTAATCGGGTATTAAATCGAATTTAATCGGCTTTCAACCGGCGGGTAAGTATCTCGGTTTCAAGGCTTCAACTTTATCATAATCCTCGATAATAGAAGTTCAATTAAGTTTATACAGGCTGAAATTTACGGATGGTAATTTCGACAAATAAATCAGATTCATATCAATTCGAGATGATTGAAACGAAGAGGGTTTTTGCTTTTGAAAAATTAAAATTTAATTCCACATCTTTTAATATCTTCCTTTTTTTTTTTTCTGGAATCGTGTTATTAATATTATCCCAAATTTGTGCAAATCTTTCCAATAATAGAAACGTTTATTTCGTTCCACGTAAAAATCGATCTTTTGTTCAGAAAATTTAATTATTATTAAATATGGAAATTCTTTTTTCAAAGAATTTATTTAGCGCTATAAATTTGGGCAACATTCAAACATAGGAAATTCCTTGGGATTGATCGTAAACACTTTCGATTAAATGGCCGAAATTTTTAATATTTTCCAGTACACAAAGGGACATTCACGCGAGATTTCTTGACATATTGAACGAAAGCTGCGTCGCGTGTTCACGATCTTCCTGCATAAATTCTGCTGAATAAGGAATGACTGCACGTGAACGGAATGAATAGAATCAGGTAAAACCTGGGGCTAGGCGATTGGCCATCGTCCGAAATTTCGTGAAGAAAAAGGCGAGAAAGATGGACCTGGAAATTGTGGGAAAAACTCGGAAAGGGAGAAAGATGGTAGAAATGAGCCGAGTCTGTGCTCGACGGATCCGCCTACGGTTGGCTCAATTTATCTCAAGTTACATAAATTCGAGTTCGAATCGAAATGCAATCCTATAATGCATGGTCCACGTAAATTTCATTTGCGTGCGATTAAATAACGCGATTAAATTAAGTAACGAGGATAAAATTACTTGATTACGTGATAATATTTAATTTATTACGTATCATTAAATTTTATTTACCTGTCGATGGAAATCGCCATTAATGTGAAGACGCTGGCGCATATGGTGAGGACAGCGATGAACTGGCAAATCTTGCAGTAAAGCGTGCCAAAAGGCCAATGGCTGTTCAACATGTAGACGTAATTGAATGTGACGTTCAACGTGGATACCATGGCATCCGCGATGCTCAAGTTTACCAAAAAATAATTAGTGACTGTGCGCATCCGTTTGTGGGCCATTACTATCCAAATCACTATCAGATTACCACCGGTTGCAACTATGATCATACCGGCGAACAATAACGTCCATATCATTTGTCTCCACCATGGAAGTATGAACTGATTTCTCAATTGTAGATCCGTGATATTCGTGTTATTGTGGTAAGTGTAATTCTCCATCGATAAAGAAATGTTCCACAGGTCGGTGTTCCACAGAGTGGAATTTAAAAAAACTTCTATGGTCTGCATTTTTTATGATTTTAATTTTACACATATATATAGAACATATCACTTTCATCAATATTTCCACACTTTTCACACTATTTTCGGTATATCAACGCGCAATCTTTCAATCTTTATTAATTAATTTTATATTATTATTAATTTTTTCTTTTTTATTAGGAACCTTACGATTATACACTTGTAAAAATTGTTTTCATCTATATTTAAATTTCGTTTGAATACGCGATTTATTTTCTATTATTATTATTATATTATTATTATTATTAATCATTGTTTTTACACATTGAAAATTTTTACACTCGCATATAACGGCACTTCTATAACACAGTACACGTCCCACCCACCACGATTCATATCCATTTCAATCGTTCAAAACAATTTTCTTATTCTCCATTCGAAATTCCATAGTAAAATTAATTTCACTTCTGACCAATCTCTAATTTCTCATCCATTTTCGTTTCCGTGTGCTAATTTCGCGACATGATATCCAGGAGCACATGTTTCATTATTTTCGTAATAGGGATATCGATAATAATAATAATGTTGTTTCTATAATTATGCGGGGAGGAGGAGGGGAGGGAGGTGGACTGATTCGACTCGCACACAATTCTCTTCACTTCCACTTCTGTTTCACGCACCAACGCCTCTAACAGGCTTCCATTCGACTACTAAGTGATTACCCGTTGTCCATCTGGATTCAATTCATTCAATTCGCATTGTTGTTTTTTCTTTCGCGAGTTACGCACTATAAACCTTTTTCACCGACATTGACACGTTTCAAACATTTTTCGATCAGGGCCATCCGGTTTTTTCCACCAATTACGTTCCTCTGCCCTCATTTGGGAAACGAGCATTCGTTTTCGACACGTTACGTTATTTTACGTGTTTGCAACGAATGTTTGCATTTCTTCTTTCTTGAATCAACGCCATTTCAATAGTAACCTAACCGAGATTCTTTCCTTCTTTCTTTTTATACGCGAAATCTGGCGATCCACCCATGTTTTCCTATCACGTTTCCTTGTAATGAAAGTGGCATCATTCCCATTGTATTCTTTTTACGATTTCAGATTTCCACCTGTAGGTAATTACTTCTCGCTACAAACTTTGTTGTTGCAAAGGAATCCTTCCCAGAATTCTTATAAGTTGCCAGACCAACATTTTCTATCACGATTGACAGATATCTTGATCGAATTAAATATCGCTCTGTTCCATTTGTTCGAAAATATTTTAACTATATATTTATATGAATATAAACGAGATTTCCTTGGTTTCGATTCCGTCTCTTCTTTCTTTTTTTACTCTCATCGCTTTTTAACTAGCATCGATGTTTCTTCTCTTTCTTCGTGTATGTATATATATATATATAAAAAAAAGGAAAAAAAAAGGAGGGGGGAAATTACCTCTCTCAAGATAAATCTTGAACAATTCAATTCGTGCAATCAGTTTCTTAATGGATCTCTTAATGTTCCATTCTAATAAAGTAATATCCACTTTACGAATTTTTACATCTTATCCTTACCGACAAATGGTATACCTTCTTAAGAATAATTCATAGGTAGCGTTTTATTTCTCCAGAGAAGAAGAAACTCGGATTCGAAATCGGATACGCGAAAGTTCTTGGACAGCATTCCGCGAAAAGATCCACCTCTATCCGAGCCACAAACGAAACCAAGGATTGTCCTTTGTCAAACATCTCTTCTGTGTCGATAAGGCTCGGCTCCGCGAGTGCACGCGTACACAATGAATCGGAAGGGGAGAGAAAGCATCGTATTAACGAGAGTGCAATGGAATCCGCGGGTCCACGGGATAGATAGATAGATAGATATGGCTTCAAGTGCCACTTCCGTGAACCGTTGTTGGGCACGTCCAGAAGGACTAGGAGAAAATTATTTTCAGATGTCCGCCATCTAGAACGAGGACAAGAATGCTTCTGTTCACAGTCACGCCAGTTTCACCGATGCTTTCGACAATCTTCATTGGAATTGACGTTCCCCGCGACCGTGCTATCTATTCCTCTTCGTTTGCCCGAATTCTACCAGTTTCAAAACATTTTGTCACGTCTGCAATTTCATGGAAACCTCGTTTCGTCGATCCTTGTAAATGGCCAGATCTAGAACAAAAATTACAAAGCGGATTATTCTTCTTATTTATAATAAATATTGTTCACAAATTTGTTTTGTATTATAATTATGGTAAGTACGTACAGATAGGTAAAACAGTTAAAAATATTCAGATATTTATGTTAACGCACAACGTGTGTTATATAAAAAAAATTCAAATTAAATTTTGTTAATTTTCTTCATTTAATAGGTTATATACGATATAGATAAATATGGGAAACGAACGAAATGTATTGACACGGATAAATTAGTTTTGTAGCGTCTTATCGTTTATGCAAATTTCATTATAGCTTCGTTATCATTCTCTGATGAAGCATATAAAAAATCGATAGAGAATAGAGACAAGGCGTGTTTCTATTATGAATGTATGTATTCTTCCTGACTATCAAGCTATCAAAAAATAGCATTCACTTTACCTGATACAAATATAGAAATAACAAAAACGAATATATCGTATTTCTAAGGATTGTTTTTGTTTATACGTTATATGATTGAATTTAAAATTTTTCAATTGTTATTGTTTTTTCGTGGACGTCAATAATGTTAACAAATATAAATTATTTATAAAAGTTATTATACTTCGCAAAAAGTATCTATATTATATTCTATATTGTATCGATTTTCTTTACCTATTGTTCCTTTTGTATTTCTACAAGTTTTCGTTCATGTATCTTATAGATTTATTCTATATCCAGCATATTTAAGTGACATCTGCTGTTTAAAGTATCAAATTATATTAATAACTATTCTATTAGTAGAAATGAAAGATTCTAAGACCGCGTGTATTCTTAATTTTTTAACAATTTATTTTATTTATTATAAAATGTATCATAATATCGTTTCTTAATCTTATTGTATACGATTTTAAAATCCATATATTTTTATTTAATTTTACATTTACGTTTCCAGTTATATTTATTTAATTTCATACTTGTAGGTTATGTTCCCTATACGTTATGATAACCTATATATACATACATATTTATTATGTATTACATATTAAATATGTTGTAAAATTATTAAATCGCAAGAAGAGAATAGAAGAGACGCAACTATTGAACTATGTTTAAAAATAGTAGTAAAATTTTGTTAATTTTTTCAGAAATGATACAATTCTTCGTTTCATTTCATGTTTATTTGCGGAAGATAAAATGCGAGAAAGAAATGAAAGTAATTGTAAATGAATAAAAATCAATCCCCCGTAACTAACGTTATTGTTGCTAAACCGTCATAAAATTCACGAACGAAAAAAAAAAAAAATTGCACGAACGTCAATTTACGTAATTTCTTTTTTTATCGAATTTTTGATCACGAGTGCATATTGATACAAAATTTTTCGACGAAACGATATCTAACAATGTTATCATCAAGTTGAAACTATTCTGTAAATATTTTTCCTTTATTTTCTTACAAATATATTTTTTTTATCGAACAAGTTCGATATGTACATATATTTAGAATCATAATTTCGCATTCACTCTCGTGAATCGCGTATTCAAATTCTGCCGTGCAATTGTATATCATTACATCTGTGTGGTACGTGAAAATGGAACAGTTGATGGTGAAAGATGTTGCTATCGAAATGGTTTACGATCGATACATTCGATACTCGAGAAAGAGGCGTGCAAAGAGAACGTTATCGAGATGATTCTTTTTTATTCAAGGAATTACTCAAATAATAATCTTACAATTATTTCGAAACGATTACGTAAATATCTAATTAAATCCTCACATAATAATTGTGTTCTGAAAATTTTATAAATACCATATAATTTTTCGAAAAATATATATTAATTTAATTAATTTATCGATGAAATTATAATACTTTGATACAATCTCACGTCATGTCCACACTTTGTTCGCGAATTTTGCAGGATTGTCAATAGTGTATGCATTTCAAACATTTCAGAATCGTTCGCAATCTCATACGTTAACTATCATCTCATTGTCGAACAATTCTCCTCGTCAACAACTAATGTACGATATTTCTGTTTTTGCTTGCCCGAACAACAACCAAAAATTTAAAAAAAATTAAAAATTAAAAATTAAAAAAACATATTTATATTATTCCAATGTCTTCCTTCAAGTCTGATCGTCTCATAGTCGGCGAATAATTCTGCAAGTTCTTGCTTTAGTTTATTTCTGTTCCTGCTTGCTCGATAACAAAAATTTCCAAAACATTTATATTACTCGAATATCTCCTTTCAATGATTGTTTCATTATCAATCAATAATTCTGCAACTGTTTGCTCTAGTTCTTGCTTGTTCGAATAATAACAAAAATTTATAACATATTTATATTACTTGAATGTCTCCCTTCAACGATCGTATCATTATCAATCAACAATTTTATAACTGTTTGTTCTAGTATATTTCTGTTCCTGCTTGCTCGAATAACAAAAATTTACATATTTATATTATTCCAATGTCTTCCTTGCTCAAACAATACGATCGTTTCATTATCAACCAACAATTCTGCAATTGTTTGCTCTAGTGTATTTCTGTTTTTACTTGTCTGAACAATAATCAAAAATTTAAGAAACATATTTATATTACTCGACTGTCTGTCTGATCATCTTCAAGTCTGATCATCTCATTATCAATCAACAATTCTACAACTGTTTGCTCTAGTGTATTTCTGTTTCTACTTGTTTGAACAATAATCAAAAATTTACAAAACATATTTATATTACTCGATCATCTTCAAGTCTGATCATCTCATTATCAATCAACAATTCTACAACTGTTTGCTCTAGTGTATTTCTGTTTCTGCTTGCCTGAACAATAATCAAAAATTTACAAAACATATTTCTGTAACTGTTTGCTCTAGTGTATTTCTGTTTCTGCTTGCCTGAATAATAATTAAAAATTTAAAAAACATTTATATATATTACTCGACTATCTGATTATCTTCAAATCTAAT